TGGCAAAGCTCCTTCTGGCTAATTGTTAGTATCCTGTTCCCATCAGCCCTGCTGCACACAGACTGCAGGTTGGAAGAAAACCTGGGGTTCCATATTCCAGAGGAAGCTGTGACACTTACACCAAGGTCCCCTCTATTGCTGTTTTCCCCAGATATTGGGGGCAGCAGGAGTGGTCCTGCTTTCCCTCCACTACATGATTCTTAAGAACATGGACAGAATGCTGTTAGGGCTCCTAAATATGTTTGATAGAGGAGGATAATGAGGAAGAGGTCTTGTCATTTATTTCCAAAGAATTCCATACAGAAAAATAAAAGAACGGCAAGCAGGTGTTTGGGAGTGGGGATGTCCTCATGATAATTGGGAAGAGAGAGGAAAGAGGGCATTGAGTCAGGCCTGGGCAACTTGTTATGCTCCAGATGTTGGACTGTAGCTCCCGCCTGCCCTAGCCAGTGTAGCCAGTCATAAGGGATCATGGAAGGTGCAACCCAACAACTGTAAGGCCATGAGTTACCCATATTGCGGAAAATAGAGAAGGTGATATGAAGAGAGAAAAAGACTTTGAATACTAAGATACAGGGAATGGAAGCTGTGAAAGTGTGCCTTTCAGTGTCTAAAGGTTTAGAAAAGCCCTGACAAGGCAGTACAGTGTAAATCAGATAAGTGCTGGGAAGCCATCCTTTTCTTAGATTAATGGTTTACTAATAGTCCAAGGAAGATCAGTTAATGTTTCATCAATGGGAACTAATGACAGAAGCTCTCTGTATACTTGGGAATCTATCTTCAGCTTGTGGAATGCAATGCCTTTAATTGACAACCTCCAGCTAATGGCAAAGGACAGAGTAACAGTTCAGAGCAAGTTTGGAGTTACCATTTGGAGAGGAGTAGAGCTGAGAGCTGAGTGAAGGGGAAAGACTTTTGAATGGCTGGGTTCACATGATCAGAGAAGGAAAAGAACCTGTGGTGGCTTCTTTTCCCCACTGCACTGATGCCTGTTGCATACCACCTCATTTCCGTAATTACTTGGTCCAAACTTAGTAGCTTCCAAACCACCCTGGAACCCTAAAACAAACCAAGGACATAGGTAATGAGCCAACACACTCAAGCAGAAAGCAAGCTAGGCACCTCACACTCATGAGGCTGTAGATACCTCTAGACAGGTATAGGAATGTGGAGAATTTCTGATTTACAGCATAGTGTGAACCTAGTCAATGCTATTTGAAAATATTGAGAAAGAAAAAGCAATAATCTCACAGTTTCTCAACTCAGCCATTACCCAGTAATTGAAAGGGACTTTCCCTGCTCTGCTTCTGTAGTTTGATATTTATTTTAGAGGTAAAAGACCTACCGGATGTGAACTGGCAGAACAGTATGTGTGCAAGTTGTTTACACTTAATGAAAAAAAAAAAAGATTCTCCAAACTGCCTAGCTGCCATCATACAGACCTTCCTACAAATTTTCACAGATCACAGGAAGCACCACTTGGAGCAAGCGGTTTCAGAATAACCTTCCCTGTTTGCTCCAAACAGCAGAATTGTCATATGGGGGGGGGGGGGGGGGAGAGATCTGGTTCACAAGAAATCACCAAGATATTATTAGTCATAAGAAGCTTTGAAGAAAATGTCATCTTATCACAATCGTAGATCAGTTCCTCTCCAAAGCAACCCTTTCCTTTGATCCCCTGAATTTGGTTGGGGAAGGAAACTTCACATCAACTTGTCAGCTGGTCTTTTCTGTCTCTCAGCATTACTGTCTGAGAGTTGTATCAGACTGTTTTAAACTCTTTTGATGGATGCCACCAGGATGTAGATATTCTTCATGACCTAAGAGTCATGCTCCTATTGTATCTTACCTGTTGGCCTTTGAAAATCATCACCATCATCACCATCATCATCATCATCATCATCTACTCAGGAATATACTTTGCTCTCTTTTTACCTGTTGGTTTTGTGCTTCATAGTCAACTGGTACAAAAGAAGCCATAGTTTAGTTGTGGGGTACCTGGTCTAGGTGCAGAAGGTCCCCGCTTTGATTCCCACCATCTCCAGGAAGGGCTGGAAAAAATCCTTCCTGAAACCCTGGAGAGATACTGCTGCCAGTCCGTGTCAACAATACTGGGCTAGACAGGCCAGTGACCTTAGCGTGAGGCAGCTTCCTGTGAGTATTATGGGTCATCCTTTTCATAAACCAGCTTTGTGTTGGAGGTGACATTGATTTCATAGGAAACATGCAGTGGTCTGCTCACTTTACGAGTAACGCATCCCTTGCTGAACTACCAGTAGGATTCATTATGATGTCGTAAAAATAAATATACACGAGTGAGCAATCTGCATGCTACTGTTGGTTGGCGGTTCAGGCTTCGGAGAAGGTGAATTGAACCTTGTCCTGAACGGGGTTGCACTTCCTCCTAGGGATAAGGTCCGCAGCTTGGGAGTGCTCCTCGACCCGGAGCTTTCACTTGAAGCTCAGGTGACAGCAGTGGCGAGGAGCGCTTTCCTCCAGCTTCGGCTGATTCATCAGCTGCGCCCCTATCTGGAGTACGACTGCCTCGCAACAGTGACTCATGCACTGGTGACTTCCTGACTTGACTTCTGTAACGCGCTCTACGTGGGGCAACCCTTGAAGATGGTCCGGATACTTCAACTGGTTCAAAATAGAGCTGCCAGGCTGCTGACGGGGACGGGGCGTTATGTTCACATGACTCCAGTTCTCCGTCAGCTTCACTGGCTTCCCATTGAAGTCCGGGCCCAATTCAAGGTGCTGGTGATGACCTATAAAGCCCTAAACGGCTTGGGTCCTGGTTACCTGAAGGAGCGCTAACGTCCATATATGCCCAGCCGCCCCCTGAGATCAGCGGGAGAGGTCCTCCTCCGGGAGCCCTCAGTGAAGGAAATTAGGAGGGTGGCTACTCGGAGAAGGGCTTTCTCAGCAGTGGCGCCTAAGTTATGGAATGCGCTCCCCAGAGAGGTCCGCCTGGCACTGTCGTTATTTGTTTTTCGGCACCAGGCGAAGACCTTTTTATTTAAGCAGCATTTTAAATGTTAATACTATTGAATTTTATTTGGCCAGGGCGGCTTATTTTATTCTAATGTATATATTTTAATTGTTATTGTCTTTATTGTTGTGAGCTGCCCCGAGGCTTCGGCGAATGGGGCGGCATAAAAATGTTTTAATAAATAAATAAATAAATAAATAAATAAAATGCCTCAGTGAGTCTCTGTGCTTGCAAATGCCTGAGTAACATGGGAAATTAACAAATAATAATATGATGCAGGTAACACTTTCTAGTGGGTTGCTACAAGAGTTCTCGGGATGGAATCCAATGGTGACCACCTGTGTGTGGCCAGCCCTGCCAGGTCCGCTCAGCAAGTGTTGTCCACTGTTTTGCAGAACTAAGAGTTAGTTCTGAAACGAGCATTTCTATGCAGAACTTGCCCCACATTCTGAAAGTGTTGAATTTCCACTGTGCAAGGGAACTCGTGGCTTGGCCGCACAGATCAAAAGTGCCAGTGGGGCCCCATGTAGATGGACACTGTTTGATACTGTCTACTAGGTAAAACTGGATTAAAAAGGAAAGGAAGAATGATTGACCTCGTTTATACTGGAATTAGAGGAGTTTTCCGCTAAGAGTATGGCTGCAGTGAGCATCTCTGAAACTTTAATCTGTAGTACAGATTCTAGTTGTACCACCTTGCCTTGATGGTGGTTTGATTAAAGTCCAGTTTATGCTAGGCTTTACCCCCATTATGCAATTCCAGTCTCACCCACTTCCGTGATGTACTTACTAATGTCTGTTGCTTCCATGCTTTCTTCATGTTTTAAGATATTTTACAGACTCGGTTTAGGTCTCCCTTTTCCTTTATGACATTGCCCCTGCATCAGTGATTGTGATGCGGAAACACTCTGCACTATTATCTCACTAGGAGTGGCTTCACCCTGAAGACTGAGCTTCTCTGCCTTCATCTTGGGTGAAGTGCCAGGAGTGCTGTGGCACTGTAGGGAGGAAAACAGGATCACCCCTCCATGTCTTGACCATCAGCCACTTAATATTTTCTTTAAATGTACCCTTGCAGCACACAGTTGCAAAGACCTGCACACTTTTTCTGTTAAGTTACCTTCAATCTGGACCTGCAGAGCTGTGCACAATAGGATATTGTGGCGCTCCCACAAGCAGGAGAAAGACCACATTTTGTAGATGAGAAGGAGGGATCATTGGCACATCCTTTCAGGATGCCTCTGATGCATGGCTGAAGGCTTGATCAATGCCTCTTATCCGTTTCCTGTTCTCTTTCTTTGTTTCTGCCTTGCTCATTCAAATGGAGAGTGAAATCAATGTTTCTTCCCCCGACAGCCATGCTCTCTTTGAAAGAAATAAATGTGGCAATCTTTTTACAAACCAACCCAATTACCCCCTTTCTGTTTAGTCCTCCCTGAAAAAAAAGCACCAGAAAGTGGACAGCCTCTACTCAGAAGTAAGCCGTGTTGATTCCAATGATATTTACTCCTGGTTGAGTGAGTACAGAAGGCACCAGGCAAGGGAAGAGGAAAGAAGTGTACTGTTGAAACATGACCAGCATTGGCTTTCATTTTGGTTTGGAGGGAAGGGTTTTCACAGGGAGGAGGGGAGAGTAACTGGTGCAGTAGACTTAGGGGGACACCCCTCCACATTCCTAGTTCCTGCGACTTCCAAGCTGCACCAAAAGAGAGCAAGGTCGCCAGAAAGGCAAGAGAGCGCTGAAATCCCAAAAGCGGGGCTCAAACTCTGCACATGTGGTCATGAAAATACCACACCGTTCTCCCAGAGTGGCAGCACAGAGCCATGTTATAAACACAGCATATACTGCATGGTTTTCATTTATGGCATGGCCACGGAGAAGTAAGCATGCTGTCAAAATATTGGCACAAGGCTGCCTCTGAACCCAAAGGGCTTGCAGTGTAGATTCAACCCAAAAATGGTATTATTGTAGAATGCCCAGAGATGGTCTTCAGGAGCATGGAGAAATCTACTGGAGTCTAGGCACCCATTCAGCTCCTCCATTTAGCTTCCAGCAATTACGGTCGTTAACTCGGAACGACTTATTTCCTTGTACTATTTGCCCCACATCAATTGTGCTGCACTTATTATTGTCAGTACCAAGTTTAACCAGCCCACAGCTCTCTGCTCGAATGGCAGCAGCATTGGTAGCAACAGTGCTCCAGTACGACACATCTGGGGGGACTGTTATGCTTGACTCTCCAGGATCCTGACATAATAGAAATATCTATCAGCTTTCTCAGGGCATTCAGGATAGGCATGACTCCTCTAGGCTTCAGATAGGCATGACACGGCCAAACACTAGAATAATCAAACTGTCTCAGGGTATGCATGATAGGCTTAGCTCTCCTAAGCTCTAGCCCATTCAAATGTCTAGTAACTGCCTCAGAGAATTCCCCTCGGAAAATGGAAAGAGCTTACCAATGGAGTAATGGGCAAAGATTGCCTAAAAGGTGTAAATTAAAAGATAAAACTTACTGCTAACCAAATCTGCTTTTGTATATCGCTTGCTCAACTGCTGCCTATGTGATTCTGTAACTCCCCATTGTCGCCATTGTTCTCATTCTTGTCAAAAACTGATTGTATTGTTCCCCATTTGCCGAAAGCTGATTGTGAAGGTATAAAGATCTCCTTCCAACTCTGTTCAGGGCCGCATTCTAACCATGAATGTTGGTCCCTGCAAGAAATCTTGCAGGTCAATAAACATCTCTTTATTTTTACCATCCGGTCTCTGGTCTCATCTGCAAAACCGCCGGTTACAACAGGGACACCAGCTTGGGCCTCATGGGCTGGATGGTTTGAAGCCACTGTTTGCATTTCCTGCAATTCTACAATGCATAGCTTAAGAACCTTGAGCCGGAGGTCAGATCAGGCCACCCTGAGTCTGAATTCTTCAGATCTGATTTTTATGATTATCATGGCATTAATGTTATATCCTGCCTTCTTTCCTTTCCTAACCCAAGGAGGCATACATCTTCCTCCTCCTCTCCATTTTAGCCTCAACCCAATGTTGTATAGTGCGATTTTACAGACGAGACCAGAGACTGGTTGGAATTATCGAGAGAGATTTATTACCTGCCGGCAGGGACCATCACTCGTTAAGAGTGCGGTATGGGGCAGACAAATGCAGCTATTTTTATACTCTTTTACAGCTATGCAGGTGCTTGAATGACAGCGGACAATGGGGAACCCCACTGAGTTACATTTGAACATTTTGCACCTTTCCCATGCTAAGGCAAGCAAGCGAGGTTACAAGGGCGTGACGCTGGCGGTTATGCTTGAACGTAGCCTGCTTTGTTTTCATCCTTGCGTAGCGTGCACATTCATTGGGGTTCCTGTTCTTGTTCACGCGAACAGGACACCCTGATCATGCTCTCTTTTTACCCGTGACGAGCCATGCCCTGGCTGCATGTTCGATTATGGGGGGGTGGGGTTACCACATTCCCTACTGGTCTTCTTGGGGAATCGAATCATCAAGTCAGTGAACCGCTAGCGGATGCTGCTTTCAGCCCACACCCTGGCTCTGGCCTGAAGTGCCAGTATTTTCACAGCGTCAATGCGCTGCTTGACAAGGCAGGTAATCCAACGGAGCAGGAGGGGGCCGAAAGTACAGAAAAATAACAACCCTAAAAAGGCTCCTGCAAGGGAAGAGAGCAGGCTGGTCAACCAGGGGGACCAGTTGAAGAGGCGCTGATACCAGTTGGAACCCTCCTGGTGGTGCCTTTCCCGGTCCTCCAGGCGGGCCTTGACTAAGTCTAGGCTGTTACGGATGATGCCTGAGTGATTTGCATAGAAGCAGCATTTCTCATCCAAGGCAGCGCATAAGCCACCTTGCTTTAGCAAAAGTAAATCTAATCCCCTCCTGTTTTGGAGGGCCACTTCGGCGAGGGAGTCAAGGGAGTCCTCCAAAAATTTGATGGAGCCGTGAAGCTCTCGCAAGTCATTATCGACTTGTTCAGAGAGGCGGAATATGTCCTGGCTGCCTTTTATCAAGGCTCCAGCACCGACAGCCGCAGAGCCTGCGATGCCCAGCCCAGCTAAAAGAGGAGCGAGGAGAGGTACAGCACGCTGGACGCGTGAGTGCGGGGGAGCAGCCACAGGGGTCATCTCTCCGTTGGTGAGAAAAACTTTTGGGAGTACTAGAGTCAGAATGCAAAGATCCGGCTGAGGAGCTTGCACAGCCGCAGGACTGAGGGGGGTTAGAAAAAGGGTGGAGGAAATGCACGGGGTGAGGCCGGATCGGCAAGCAAAAAGAGTCCCATTCGGGGCTGCCAGGAGATAGGGTCGGGCTGTGGGGGTGAGGAGCAAGGTGGCCGCACATCGTGGATCCTTGCGGGGTCCACCGGGGCCCGTGACACAGGTCCCTTGGCCTGAGAACTCTTCTAATGTTATAGAGGGGTGGAGGCCCCACGGGCAGGCGCTCCCATAATTTTCCGAGTAGGAGATATTAGCAAAGTTGGAAAAAGAGACATTCACTCCTACTCCATTATAAAAAGGTGGCTGTGGACTAAGGCATAACCAACATGTCTCGGTAATGTTTGGGTTGGTTCCGTTGAGGACTTTAAAAACTGCGGACACTAATGCAACTGAGCAGCTGGATGACGGTCGACTAGCAGCCCGGGCTGGAGCACGATGTGTGCGAGGGTCAGGGATGTGGTGTGTGGGGGTGGGGGCCTCTACCTGAGGGTGAGGGAGGGCCTGGTTGGGTCCTACCGGGCCCCAGGGTTGTGAGATAACCCGTCTCTGGATTGTGAGAAGTATGCCCGGATCAGGACCATACAGATTCAAGCGCAGGCTCCAGGTTTTACCTTTTACCCAAGAATCTTCTCTGCCTCGCTTAATCTTGAGGCTCAGGGGGTTATGTCTGCCGGTCCCCGCCTGAGCGGCCTGTACCCTTTTCACTGCGAGCCATGGATCTTTATTTTGGCCTTCCAAGCAGGTAGCGAAAGTCTCGCAACCCCATCGGGCGCAGTAGAAGTTGGGCGCGTCACCGCAATCAGGGCTCCCATCCAATGGACAGCCATAATATTGCTTCCCCGACAGTCCCTTTTCCAAGTTATCCGTTCCGCATCCAAAACCCCAGATGCCTGGCTTGGCCCACCCGGGCGGAAGGAGTTGGCAGAGATCTATGCGGAAGTCTGGGGAGGTATCATGGGTGTGAGTCAGGACGGTTGCTACTGGCGGGGAGGTCTGCCAATCAGTCTGCAATGTCCATTCCATAGTGAGTGGCTGGTGCGGGTTTGGGAGGGGACAGCCTACTGGGCGGGCGAGAAGAATCAGGAGGGCTGCTGGGAAGAGGGGGAGGAGACTCGTTTTAACTTGACTCGCAGAGGATCTCCGGTTTGGTGTGCCGTCCATTGTTCCGAGAGGGCTGGCGCGGCAGGCTTTATCTATGTTACGTGGAACCAGTGGGGTTTTTCGGCCAGTCTAACCGCCGTGGGAGTGGAGAGGATCACCTGGAAGGGTCCTAGACACCGGGCACCTAGGGTGACAGGGTGAAAGTTCTTTAGCCAGACCCAATCTCCCAGGTTTACGTGTGGGGGATGGTCGGGCGCGGGGTCTGGAGCCTTAGTAGTCCCGCCTTTGTTGGACTGAACCTGTCGGCGTATATCGTGCCGGACGCGATCGAGGGCCTGCAAGGACTCAAGCAAGTTGTGGTTAGACAACTCGGCGCGCATCTCCTCCGCCAGGTGGGGTAGCAGGGGAGGCGCTTGCCCGAACACAATTTCGAAGGGGGTGAAACCGTTCTTGTAGGGGGAGCATCGCGTGCATAGGAGGGCAAACGGAAGGAGGTCCGTCCAGGGGCCGCCAACTTCAAGAGTGTATTTTGTTAAGGTTTCCTTTAGCGTTCTATTCATCCTCTCTACCTGTCCTGAGCTCTGCGGTCTATACACACAATGCAGTTTCCAATCAATCCCCAGGGCTTTGGCTACCAATTTGGAAGTTTGGGTGATGAACGCTGGACCATTATCTGACCCTAGAGCAAGGGGTACGCTGAATCTGGGTAGAATTTGATGCAGGAGAGTCCGGGCAACAATCAGGGCTGTCTCTCCCTTCGTAGGGAACACTTCCACCCACCCGGAATGGGTGTCGATGGAGACCAGTAAATAGCAATACATACCTCGGGTGGGTTTTACCTCAGTGAAGTCTATTTCCCAGTGTTCTCCCGGCTGGGATCCGCGATGGCGGACACCCGGGGCCGTGGAGGGCCGGCTGGGGCCAGTGTTAACTCGCGCGCAGGAGGCGCACCCGGAGGTTATGGAATCGGCCAGAGCTGAAAGTCCGGGAAGGTAGAAATGAGGTCTAAACAGCTGACAGAGTCGGGCCGTCCCCAAGTATGTGGCTTGATGGGTCTGTAGAAGAAGATCTCGTCCCAGTGCTTGGGGGAGAAAGATTCTTCCATTGGGGTGCTTCAGCCATCCCGTCTCAGTCTCAGAGCACCGCAACTCCCTGCCCCGCTCGATATCCTCCTTCGAGTAGGTCGGTCGGTCTGGGAGGGCCCGGGGCGGCATCTGAACCGGGAGAATCTTGAGGGGCCCTACTGGTTTTAGGGCAGCTTCCTTTGCGGTTCTATCAGCGAAGTTATTTCCCTCCTAGACCGCCGAGCCGTCTCGTTGATGCCCAGGGCAATGAATTATAGCTATTCGTTCAGGCAGCCAGAGGGCTTCTAAGAGAGACATAATTTCGTTTGCATTCTTAATGTCCTTTCCTCCCGAGGTTAGCAGCCCTCGTTCCTTATACAATGCTCCATAGACATGAGCCGTGGCGAAAGCGTATCGGCTGTCCGTATAAATGTTGAGGGCTTTTCCCTTCCCCCACCGGAGTGCCTGTGTCAGGGCAACAAGTTCTGCTTTTTGCGCTGACGTGCCATGCCCTAGAGCCTGTGCCCATATTACCTCAGAACTGGTGTCCACCGCTGCTCCCGCAAAGCGAATCCCGTCCTTGACGAAACTGCTCCCGTCTGTAAACAAATTGAGGGCTGGCTGCCCTAGCGGGACGTCCGTTAGGTCTGGTCTGGTGCCGGTCAGGGTGTCGAGGACCTCAGCACAATCATGTGTGGGACTCCCATGTTGATCATCTGGCAGTAGGGTCGCCGGATTAAGGACCGCTGCCCTGGAAAAAGTGACCCGCGGGGGGTCCAATAAAAGTACCTGGTATTGAGTCACTCAGGCGTTGGAGATCCATCGATCCAGTGGACTGTGGAGGAAGGTTTCCACGGCGTGCGCCCCAATGACTTGGAGGTCCTGGCCCAGTGTCAGTTTCTTGGTCTCTTTCACCAAGACCGCTGTCGCGGCAATTGCTCTCATGCAAGTGGGCCACCCCGCTGCCACTGGGTCTAGTAGTTTCGACAAATATGCAACCGGCCGTCTCCATGGGCCCAAAGTCTGGGGTAAAACTCCTTTTGCTATACCTCGAGCCTCAGCCACAAAGAGTTCGAAGGGTTCTTAAGGTCGGGTAGGGCTAGAGCGGGGGCCGTGGTAATAGCCTTTTTAAGAGCCTGAAACGCCGATTGCTCAATCTCAGTCCACATGGGGGAGTCACCTTTTCCTCCCGTGCTGGTGTAGAGGGGTTTCGCTATCTCAGCAAAGCCGGGGATCCACAGCCGGCAGTACCCTACCATGCCCAGGAATTCTCTGACTTGTCGTTTAGTCGTAGGCGTGGGAATATTCTGGATTGCTCGGACTCGGCTGGCTGACAGTGTCCGTTTTCCCCTGCTTAGATCGTATCCCAAATAGGTCACCCTCTGACTACAGATCTGTGCCTTCTTTATTGAAACCCGATATCCCATGGAGCCCAGGGCGGCCAGGAGGTCTCTAGTCGCCTGCAGGCATGCAGGCGCGGACTCCGCCGCCAAGAGCAAGTCATCCACATATTGCAAAAGGGTAACCTCGGAATGGGTTTCCCGGAAAGGGGAAAGGTCTCTACTCAGAGCTTCATCAAAGAGGGTAGGGGAGTTCTTAAACCCCTGCGGCAGCCTGGTCCACGTAAGTTGACCCGAGAATCCCTGGTCCAGATCCGTCCACTCAAAGGCAAAAAGAGGCTGGCTCACCGGGGCCAGCGGTATGCAAAAGAAAGCGTCTTTTAAGTCCAAGACTGAGTACCATTCCCGGTCCGGTGGCAGCTGGCTGAGTAGGGTGTAAGGGTTTGGGACAGTTGGGTGGACAGTCTCTACCCGGGCGTTTACCTCACGTAAGTCCTGAACTGGCTGGTAGTCCTTGGTGCCGGGCTTTCTGACCGGTAACAGCGGGGTGTTCCATGGCGACCTGCAGGGTACTAAAATTCCTGCTCCCAACAGCCTCTGTATATGCTTACGTATTCCTATCTTTGCCCTGGCTGGAATGGGGTATTGGGGTTTCCGGAATGGGGTAGCCGAGCTACTGACCTGTACCACAACGGGTGGCTGATGAGCCGCCAGACCAGGAGGGTTATTTTCGGCCCATACTCCTGGAATTTCTTTTTGGAGCTCTTTTAAAGCCTCAGAGGGGCTTTCTGGTGCCTGACTTTCGAAGAAGAGGTACTCGTCTTGCAAGGGTACAGTGAGCAGAAGGGCAGCAGGCTGTGGAGAACCTAGGCTGAGGTGGGTGCCGTCCTCTTGCAACAACACCGAGGCTCGCAGTTTCCTTAGGAGGTCTCGCCCCAGGAGGGGGAAGGGGCATTCGGGGATTACCAAGAAGGAATGAGTTAAAGTCCCTTTTCCCAGATCAGTTACGCGAGCTGAAGTCCAAGGGTACGCCTTGGGTTGCCCCGTTGCCCCTATGATCTGAGTCTTTTCTTCAGTTAGACGGCCGACCCCCTCCCGGAGAACCGAGTGGGCTGCCCCAGTGTCTACCAGGAAGGTAGTTGGGCGGCCCCCCACAGTTAAGGTTACCAAGGGCTCTTGGGGGCCTAAATTGACAGAGCCCTGGCCCCTTCAGTCTTCCTCAAGGGTGAGGACACTCTTTTCTTTTTGGCTTATTTTTTTCCTGCGGGGACACTCGCTTTTCCAGTGGCCCCTCTCCTTGCAGTAGGCGCATTGATCTTTTTCTAGGAGGGGGCGACCCCCATTCCTCCGTGGAGCCCCTCGATTCCCATCGCTAGCTTCCTGCATGGTTGCCAAGACGACTCTGGTCAATTTCTTTGTGCCTGCAACTTCTGGATCCTCACGATTATTAAAAACCTTCTGAGCTATCTCAACTAGTTCACTGAGGTTTTTCCCTTCGAACCCGTCTAGCTTTTGAATCTTTTTCCTAATGTCTGGTGCCGATTGTGTAACAAAGGCTATGTTAGTTGCCCACGCGTTTTCGGGCGCTCGTGGGTCTATAGGTGTGTATTGCCTGTATGCCTCAAGTAGGCGTTCCAAGAAAGTGGCGGGGGATTCCCGGGGGCTCTGAACTATCTCACTTACTTTAGACAAATTAGTAGGTTTCCGTGCTGCGCCGCGGAGGCCCTGGAGAAGAAGTTGGCGGTACTGGGTCAGGGCTCCTTCCCCAGCAACCGTATTCGGATCCCAGTTGGGTCGTTGGGCTGGGAGGCTCGTTTCCAGAATAACCGGGTCAGTGGTGGGTTGACCACCTGTGCCACAAATCTACTTCCGAGCCTTGAGGTGAATCCGATCGTGCTCCTCGGAAGTAAAAAGAACCTGCAAGAGTTGCTGGCAGTCGTCCCAAGTAGGGCGGTGGGTGTGAAAGATCGTTTCTAACAACGAGATTAAACCTTGTGGTTTTTCAGAGAAAGGAGGATTCTGTAGTTTCCAGTTATACAGGTCACTTGTGGAGAAAGGGACATAGACCATAAACGGGCGGCCCATCCCCTGGGCGGGGGCCAGCTCCCAGAGGGGCAATAGTGTGGCGGGCTCAGGGCCGGGATCGGGGGAGGCCGACGACACCCATCTGTCCCCGTGGCCAGAGGATGGCAAGGGCAGAGTAGACTTCGGAGGGACAGATGGACGGGGGCCGTACAGAAGTCCACTCCACGTTCGGGACGGACTGGGGGAAGTATGGGGTGGGCTCCCGGAAGCCTGGGAATTCGGGGCATAGGGAGGTGGTTGTGTCCATGTTTCCAGGACGTCTTCCGGCCCTGTCTGATCATCCGTGAGGATGCGGGGTTTCGTGGATGGGGTGAGGGTCGATCTGACGCGGGGTTCTTCTCCCTTTTTAACCGTAAGGAGAGAAGGGCATGTGGATCCTGGGAGTTTTTGTTGACCCCGTTTAATGTAACCGGGTCTCGCCTTGGCGATATCCAGCCACGTCTCTATATATGGAATCTGATCTGGGTGTCCGGGACTCCCAAGGATCACAGCCTCGACGTTCCTAATCAAGATCAAATCAAAAGAGCCCACTGAGGGCCATCTCACGTCAAAAGTGGTCCATTCTAATTCACAAGGGTCCGGAGGGTTCCTGGCTTGACGGAGACCCCGAATCCTGAAGCCCTTTTAAAGAAATCAGAAAAGTTATTCAGAAGACATTGCAAAGGGGTGGTCGGGACGGACTGGCCCTGCCCCATTTTCCAGTCCTAAAAAGATTGCTCAAAGGTCAGATCAATAAAACAGATGACAAAACATCAACAAGACAGACGATAGACGACAACAAGACAGACAAGACGGATGATCTAAACAGATGCACAACCTAAACAGGAACTGAGGCCGGAAGCGACGTCTCGCCCCAGACCGGAAAGTAGCCCTTGCGCTGCGTCCAGCAGGCTTTTCTTTCCAATACCGGATCTGCAGATATTCAGAACAGATGGCGGGTAACCGCCATGCGCACTTACTGGTAATTTCTCTTTCGGCCAGTCAGACGTCCCACCGACCCGGGGTAGAGGCAAAAAAATGCCTATGGGCCCGTTCCTGGTGTTGGAAGAATGCAAAACCGGTAGTCTCTGAATCTCGCTGGGGCCTCCAAATGTTGTATAGTGCGATTTTACAGACGAGACCAGAGACTGGTTGGAATTATCGAGAGAGATTTATTACCTGCCGGCAGGGACCATCACTCGTTAAGAGTGCGGTATGGGGCAGACAAATGCAGCTATTTTTATACTCTTTTACAGCTATGCAGGTGCTTGAATGACAGCGGACAATGGGGAACCCCACTGAGTTACATTTGAACATTTTGCACCTTTCCCATGCTAAGGCAAGCAAGCGAGGTTACAAGGGCGTGACGCTGGCGGTTATGCTTGAGCGTAGTCTGCTTTGTTTTCATCCTTGCGTAGCGTGCACATTCGTTGCAGGTTCCTGTTCTTGTTCACGCGAACAGGACACCCTGATCATGCTCTCTTTTTACCCGTGACGAGCCATGCCCTGGTTGCATGTTCGATTATGGGGGGGGGGTTACCACACCCAACAGCTCCATGAGGTGGGTTAGGCTGAGATGACTGATTGGCCTAAAGCCACCCAGCAAGCTTCATGGCTGAGTGGGGACTAGAAGCTGGATCTCCCAGGGCTGCAGTCTGGCAGTACGTCACACTGGCCTTTTCTCAGGCAGTAATACCTGTAAGCTACAGTGTGCTGGTATGTTTGGTATTTCGCGCCTCACTGCTTTGGCCCTGCCCACCATTGCAGTGCGGCCCCTGAATGCTCCTCTGAAATGGAATTTGCTTCTTGGGATGAAAGATGATGATGATGATGATGATGATGATGATGATGATGATGATGGTGGTGGTGATGACAACGACCTTGCATTTACATCGCACCTTTTTTCCTCTTGCAAGGAACCCATGGCAGCTTTCGTAGCTCCATTTTATCCTCACAACAACCCTGTGAGGTAGGTCAGGCTGAGAATGAGTGACTGGGCCAGAGTCACCCAGTTTGCTTGGGCTGAAAGATGTGTGACATTCTTGCCCCAGAAATTGGAACGGCAGTGCCAACCTACTCGGCACAGATCACAGTGCTTCTGTTGCTGGCGACCAGTGTTGCCACTGGAGCCTGCCAACAAAGGTGGAGACCTGCTAGAAGGTACCTCCTACTCTAGGAGCAGGCCGCAGTGTCTCAGAGTCCCAAGAAGAGCTGTTTCTCAGCACTGTTGTCTAAGATCCTTCCCCTGGAAACACCCAAGATTAAACTCGAGGGCCTGATATATGCAGATCTGGTATCTTTCCACTGAACGAAGGCTTTTCTTCGATCAGGAGCTGTCATGCTGAATCAGAAGATTGGACTCTCTTGTGCCGGGATAAGCACATCCGATCTTCCCTGCTATGACCACTTTTGTCAGAGTTGTTTGGCATGGTGGTTGCACGGTGCTATTGTAAAATGTCTTAAGAAGCATAGAGAAATCAACTGAGGTCCAAATACACATTCACCCCATATGCCTAGCTTAAAACTGATTCGCAGCACATTTCCCCAGAATGGAGGCCAGGAACTGAATAAACAATGATCTAAAGCTTTTCGGTGGTTTTGCAGCAGGTGCTGTGCATGCTATGCAAGGCCAACAGGTACTTGCCAGTTTCATGCTGCATTCGCAATTCCTCTTCGGTATCGAATCATGTACGGATGTGTATCTGCAGTGATTTAACTACATCAGGACATGGGGCATCCCTTTTGCTTCGAAAGTTTATCACAACAAAGCTATGCAGCTGTTCTTTGAGATAACGTTTTGCTATACCTTTTACATAAGCTAGTATGACTAATGCTTTAATACTGTCAAATTTGATGGTGTTTTGGGACTTGATACAGCCAGAAAGAGCAAATCCCATGTTTTCTTTGGCTCACACCTGTCTTGCAGAAATCTATCTCCCCTGTCCTGTGACCTTCGGTAGCACAGAGAACACTATGTGAGTGTTCTATCAATGAAAGAAAAGGTTACTGTGGCAACACAAATCTGTGGCTGGAGACAAGAACTTCTGCATGAACATTTGATACATGGTGGCCCCTCTTCAGTATTGAGGACCAAGCAGGATGGCGCTCTGGGAAACAGAACCGTGAAGAACTGTTATGAGTATTCCTGGGCATGAGGATTCGATTCAATTCGTAAATTTTTTATAATGTGACTTCATGTATTGTAAGCTGCCCCGAGACGTTTGTAGGGGATGGGTTAGAAAAGCTTTTGATAAATAAATTAAATAAATAAACATAACATTGGCAACATACTTATTTGTGTTCAGCATTTTTCTTATTTGCATCCTTCTCTACATTAGCAACGGCCCTATGGTCCATGCCCCAATACCATAAAGTAGAAACATCATGTTTCAATGGCCCAAAATATGTCAGGGATCTCGGTGTCATCAAGTGTATGTGGAATGGAAGAATTCCCTGAATTCAGCTCCCCTGAATTCCTTGAAAAATCACTTTGAAGGTGATTTAGGTTGAAGCTACACATTGAATATGCATGTTTCTGTGCCTATTTCTCAGAAGAGTACACTTTCTCCTACTGAGAAAAGCATGGAAATGCTTGATTTTTAAAATGTGCATTTCAAAGTTTGTATTATAAAAGAAATAAGCATGTATATAACCGTCACAACTTTAGGAAATAAAGTGCTGCCGCTCACTTTCACATTTAGGTTTGCAAAAAGGAGATGTTTGCATAACTTGCAAGCAGAAGGGCGTTCTAGTATGTTCCTGCCGCTCTCCATTTCAAAACAAAAGAAGCAACTTCATCTCCCTCTAGTGGCTTATTTGGTGCAAACACCACTCCGAGGATATGGTTGAATTGGGAAATCTGAAGAAGACCTCTAGCAACGTCGATTAAGTTTAATGGTGCAGTAATAGAGCATTCCTTTGAGATCAACATAAATACATGAAATACACAACATGGGCGGGAAACAATACACAGCTGTTTTTAATATCTGTACAGCAAAGAAGATGTGTGAAGAAATCTTTGAAGATAATGGCAATCCTCAATCAAAGTGTCATTGAAGACAATTTTTTAAGACCATCCTTTTGGGTTTAGATCTAGGCAAGAATTATTTCAGAGTAGATGATGATTATAATTAGAAGTAATCCTAATTTTATTTGAATTCCATAATAGAAGCCTGGGGCTTTTCACATATAAGCGCAGGCTGTGGCTGTAATTCTGAATCTGTTAATGACTTCTTTTCAGCTATTTTTTTTTTAAGGCAGACCCATCCATGAAGCTTTTCATTCTTAATGTGCACTATAAAACTTATGAAGTGTGCAAATTTTTGCACACCTTAGGCAGCTCTTTAGAAATGTGCATATTATTCCGATTTAACTATCAGAATAACTCTGAATAAATTAATTGGATGAATTAATTGTGTAGACTGGAGTGGAAGACTGAAGGCATATAATTCATCTAATTTTAAAACAAGAGTAAAAATAGCATTGTTACAATTTCTTCTTCATTTTATCATACACAGCTGCAGCCACCCACAGATGTGTAGAATTAAGTGCCCTAAATCAGAGTCTTCCATTGCTTTCCAAAGGTTGCAAGGAGATTTGGGGCCTGTATCATTTTAACAGAATGTATACCTAGTTCATAACATCCTTCATGGAGAAGAACAAGGCAGGTCACTCTTGCCTAGGGCTCCTTCTAGGTGTGCCTCTTATTGTATAGTTGTACATCCTCATACACAGAGTTTTGCAGGGGTTCTAGGCATCATTGTCTTCCATTCATAGGTCTCCTGTGGTTTCCCACTGCTTTTTCGACCAGATTAAAAAAAAAAAAAACTAAACTAAAACTAAAACCATGAAGGAAGTCAACATGGAATAGTTGCACAATGTCTTTTGATGGCTAGTGCTAGGAATCCTCCATCTGGAACCTGCTGGGGAGTTCTGTCTTCTTAATCACATTTCCTAATGTAGGAACCAGTCACTGGACAGGCTTGACTATATATGATGTGTAAAAGCAAGAAAAAAGTAATTTTCCTGAGCCACCAATCAACTGAACCATGCAAAATAGTTTTTATACTTGATTCTAATTTGCAAGAGATCCGACAGATATATTAATATTCTGTGTGCTTTTTGGGTACAATCTTTAAAACAACCTTTGATAAATCATATGAACATTGGTTCTGCCTATTTTCAAAATATTTTATTCCTGTTTGTATTTTGTTGCATTTTTATTCTTGCAGTGGTAGAACAATGAATACACATAATGTGATGATTTAAAAAAAAAAACTCTTTGTACTCAAAAGCACAAGAGTTGAATCTCTTGATGAAATACTTCAGCACAGTTATCAGTTACTTCACTTAAGGCAAGGAATGTCATGGAAGGGGAGATTTAGACCTGATCTGGGACATTCCTCAGTTGACATTTTGATGCCCCAAACTGGAATTCCAGATTGCTTGGGAGTTAAACAATGCAGAGTTAAGCCAACAAGAAACCATGGGTGGAATGTTGGCAGGAAGGCTTAAAGTCCACCCACTGTTTTTCTCTTGCAACTCCCTCACCTGTTTCCCCTGTTTACTATTTACATATTTACTATTAAGTTCTTGATTAACTTTAAAACAAGTCAATGATGGACTGTATGTCACTGAAGCTTTGTCTCCTCAGTCAGAGGCCCAAAGCAGTCTCACTGCTGCTTATATGAGATCAGAAAATGCCAATTTGCATGACCGACATTATATTCTTTTTGGCGAAAGGCAAAAACCTTTTTATTTGCCCATTATTTTAATATTTAATTATTTTAATTAGACTTTAACAGTGTCATGCTCAGTATTGTACTTGTTGTGTTGTGTTGTGATTTATTTATTGTTGTAAGCCATCCTGGGATATCTCATAAAGGACGGGGTATAAATATTGTTAATAAATAAAATAAATAAATGAGATTGGAATGCATTTGGAGTAAGATGGGCGAGGGAATGAGAAACTAGCTGCTTTCCTCTTGTAGTGTGCTGTGCTCAGCAGAGTTATTGTTTTGCTTTATGTGGAAGTGGCAAATCTGTTGCTGCATGAACTCCGTGTAAAGGTCTTGAGAACTGATGCTTGTAGCTCTCCAGGCTTCAAGGCAAAGATAGCTTCTGTGCTCCTTCTACCCTGGAAAGCATATAGATGGCAAGTTTCAGCCAAGTGCAGTTCTTCTGAGCAGAATGGAAGGAGGTTGAGAGAGCACAGTGGGTATTCTAACAAAAGGGGAAGGGGTTGCCCATTCATAAAATGGCAGCCATGGTGGGCATAGCCTATCACAATAAGCTTAATTTCTTAGAAGGCAAACCAGTGAGACTGTAAGAAAAAATAACTTGCCCAGGAACTTCACTATCGAACAGAGCTGGGTTCTGCACCCCCAAACACAAAAACTGTCTTCTGAAACCAAATCAAGATGGTATAGAGAGCAGCTGTTTGCAGCATGGCAGCCTCTGAAGCTGCATGCTAATAACTACCACCGAGGTGATCGTCATAGCCGTTTTCTATTGGTA